TCTGTAGGTAATTGGTCGCACCTGATCTTTCTTAGGGGCTTCATAGCAAAGGGGGTGAATACATATGCACGCACCACTTTTCCGTTATTTATTTTGTATAATTTTTACTTCACCAATTTGGACTATTTGTGTATGTCCATTACATGAAATCGAAATAAAAATCTATTTAAATTACAGGTTGTAATGCAACAAAATAGGAAAAACACCAAGGGGGATGAATACTTTTGCAAGGCACTGTACAGAGAGCCATAGTGAGACAAAGAAGGTGGGAGAGAGTGACAGAAAGCAACACAGCTTAGTCTAGACAGAGACAGAAACAAATATATATATATAGAGAGAGAGAGAGAGAGAGAGAGAGATAGGAGAGAGAGAAGAGGAAGAAGAGAAGAGGAGAGAGAGAGGAGAGAGAATAGATTAGAGAGAATAGAGAGCGCGCGAGAGAGATAGCCGAGTAGATAAGAGAGGATATGAAGATAGATAGAGAGAGATAGCCGATCAGAGTAAATAGAGATAGCCGAGGAGACGACAGCAGTAGAAGGAGAGCGAGAGAGGAGAGATTAAATGCAGAGTAGGGAGTGAAGCGGAGCGGTGAGAAGAGAAAAAGATCGAGGCTTTCAAATCTCCATATCCCCAGAGGCTCATCAGAAGACAGACAGTAATCCAGCTCTCGGCTGGCGCCACGTCCCCCTCTGTCCCCTGCCTGCTCTGTCAGCAGACAGCCCTGCTTTTGAACCTGCAAGTGGGAGAGACACAGGCATTAACTCCACTACAGTGGGGCTTTGAGTCAGATCCTTGCACCGGGGCTTAGCCATCACCCTTCAAAGGCTCTATTTCCTCCAGAGAGAGAAAGAGAAAGAGGAAGAGAGAGGGAGCCAGTATAGCTTTGATCAATATCCTTGGTGAGGGGACCACAGACTGGGGGGGGGGGGTTAATTGCCATTTAACCCGCTGTCACCTCCACTGTCCCACCTGCGCTTTAGAGCCTTTGAAAACCTGACATAGCACACTCTATTCCAGACCACCAGATTCTTTATCGGTGTGTGTGTGTCAGACTGGGAAAAGTACAACACCCACAGTGCTCAAACCTTAGAACTAATGGAGGGGAAAGAGACCAACCCAGCAGAATCCTTTGTACAACATGATGAAAGGATATTGTTTCTAGATGCACTAAATAACGTCCTGGAGTGGCATCTACTAGCCTGCAGTACAAGCCCTCTCTAAATGTGTCCGGTCTGGCAAGACATAGTGTTTTTCTCTCTCTGTAAGCAATGTTTTTCGAGCATGAGGTTTGCTTGAGTGGAAGGCTAGAGGCCAAACCTCCCCATTACTAAAGACTCTGGACATCTGCAGTGAAAGCTCTAATGTCCTCTCAACCACTTATAGGAGCAAGAGCCTCAATCCCCCTCGCTTTCCTCTCCTCTTCCTCCCTCCCCTTCTCCTCTTGGTTACCTCTTTGCCATCAATGCATCAGCTCCTTGCGGATACACTCCGTCCTCGCTCTCTTTTCCCCTCTCCCTCGTTCCCCTGCTCTCTCGCTCCCTCCGTCTCTTACCTCCTTTCAGGGCTGCACAAAGAAGCCATTTGCATCGCTGCAGGTTGCTATGATACTCAGTCAGCACAAGTTGAAATGTTTTGCTGCTCTTTGAAGGTGGTATTAAAGGGGAAAACAGCTGTGGGTGTTAGAGAGAAATAGAGAGTGGGTATGTGTGAGCACATTTGTATATTTGAGTGTTTGTGTGTATGGGCTGTAGCTAGTTTGATTCTACTGTTTCTATGGACCCAGCACAGTATGCATCAGTCACTGTTTTTGAGAATGTGGGCGTCTGCATCTGTGTCTGTGTGTGTGTGTGTGTGTGTGTGTGGTCTAATCAGCCTGTGTTTGTTGCTGTGGACTCCCTGCCGTATGCTCATTAGACGACTTCTGGGCAAAGGCTGCTCTTTCCCCGTCTCTTTGCTGGAAGCCATTACAATGGCCTCTTTCTCAGCTGCTCCTGCACCCAGCAAAAACCCTTTAACCATGATTCATGTCTCCACAAGTAACCAGACATATCCCAGTTCAATGTGGCGTAATTGTACTGGTAATGGTACAATATAGTTCTTCAACACACAAATTAAATTATATACAAATATGTTTTGATACCTTTACCCAAAACAGGCATTATACGTGATGAAGTCATTTTCTCTCAAAAACTGGTAGGAAAGTTGGACAGTGTCGTCCCTATTCGCGGCATCAACAATCGAGGCTTATATCATGATTTATTTTTCCAGCACAGACTGACTTGTTATAAAAGTTCCTAAAACATGAACAATATAATTACTGTATCTCATCACAATACAGTCTGATCAGGAAGTCATTGCGCATATCTCTTTGTGGCAGCACTCCCTTGCTCAGAATTAAATCCAGGGACTTAACAGTCCCTCAAGGCTTAAATGAAGTCATAGCAGAGGCCTTTAGGCCTGAATAGTATGTGTGTTAGCGCTCCAGTGAGTCTGTGCCTGTATCCTACTACTATACTGTAAGTCCCTTGGGATGTTAAGGGCCTTTGAGAAGGCTGGCCTCTTGGCTTCTCTGTATCCTCCATTCAGACGAAGAGGCCCTTTCCTTCTGCCATGCCTCTTCTTCTCTGTAATTAGTACAGTGGACATAAAGACAGCCATCCTTTCTTCCTGTCGGAGGTGGCTAGTGCTGAATCAGGCTAATGTTAACGGTAGGCATTTTGTTTGGGGTGTTTTATGCCCGTCCCTGGCATCGAGGGGCAGGTTTGGTTTGGCAGTGCCAGTCCTGAGTGGGCTGGGCCAGGTTCTGCCTCTACCCCTCCCCCCTCCTGCCCCATCTATCTTGTCCCTCATCCCTGACTGGAATTCAATTGACCTTTTGTTCTATCTCACAGCCAACGGCGTGAGCCCAACCTTCTCTCCTCTTGTAACGGTCCTATACCTCTTTTTTTGTTCTGTCCCGTCCAACACTTTCATTACCCATCTGCACAGCAGCACCCACCCCCCCCCCCCCCCCCCCCCACCCCCCCCCCCACCCCCCACACACACACACACACTTCTCTGCACCTCACACCCCCCAACTCCACCGTATAGCACCCATGAAACTGTGAAAGGGGGGCCTCGTCTTTGGCAAGAGCCGCTGAGGAATTTTACGATTGAGGAAAACTGCATCTCTCCTCCTCCTGCTGCTGCTGATGATGGTGGTTATGGTGATTGGCTTTTATTTGTGTCTGCTCTGGGGTTTTTTTACACACAGCACTTTTCCTCCTCCCTCCTTTTCTCCCTCCCTCCCCCTTCTTTCTCTCAGAGGACTTTTCTGACTTTGTAAAAGTGCTGAGGTGGCTCCTCTGTTGCTCTGTCGCTCTGAGGTTCTGTGACTAGGCCTGCCGTGCCGTCACCTGTCAATCATGTTGATCTGTAGGATTGACTGATTGATCCCCCAAGACCCAGCCATTCTCACTTTGGACATGTGTGCATATGTACGTGGACATGTGTGCATATGTACGTGAGTGTGTGTGTCTGAGCACAGCTCTCTCAGCAGTAATCTTGTGACTGTGTTAATAAGTCTCTAATAGGGTCTAACAGTGATAGTTTCCAAATGACTGACTTCCTGCTGCTGTGAGGACTGCTTCTTCTCTGAGATACACTCCCTGGCTCTGTCTGGGACCCCATTGTTTGTATTTGAGATGTCGCTCTGTTCTGTGTTACTCTGTTGCTCTGTTGAAAAGGAGAACAGGAGAAACAGGAAGAGTGAACTCTGGCTGCAGAAGCTAAATGAATGAACGTCTAACAAATTTTGAAACAACTTTTCAATGGTTATATGAAAAAGAAGACATTTGTAAAGCTTCCTTCCTATGCACTCGTAATCTCAAGCGTACAAAGGCCAACCCTCGCACATGCACATTCTCTCTCACTGAAGTGTAACAGCCTTTGACCCTTTAGGACAGGGTGCCTGTTGCATTGTCCTGTGAGGTGATGGCTCAGGTCAGGGCAGGGCGGCTAGCTGAATGGGTCGGGCTATGGACCGCGTGCAGCCATTGTGCAGGCCTCATTCCACCACAAACAAAGAGAACATAGCCCTGCTAAAACAGGCGCTACTACCATTGTGTCCAGCCCAGTTCACTGGCGCAGAAAGCCTGTGCTGCTTCAACAGCCTGCCATGGCATTATGTTGAGGCCATCCCTGAGTACAGTAACAATGTTAACATCACACTACTCTACATGCCAGACATCAGGTACAGGCTGTTTGTATAGTGTAGGCTTCTACTGCTCTAACTAGGTGGCAATTCAGTTGACATTTCAGGTTCAAATCAAGCCAGTCTGTCTCCTAAGAAAAGCAATAGCAGAGTCAGATTCCTTGTGTCCATTCCAAAAAGTTTCTGTTCCCATGCTCTAGAGTGATGTAGGCTTGTGTTGCCTATATCTCAGGGGAGCCAGGATGGGACCACAGCCACATCCCCAGACAGGATCCCTCGGAGCCCAGGGAGTTTTACGAACCTCCTAATGAGAGCAGTAGGGGAATGGGAGAGAGGAGAGAGGGGAAATGGAGTTAGGGAATGGGAGAGAGGAGAGCGGGGGAATGGAGTGGTTGCTGTTCTGCTGTGGTGCCACTCTGCCTCCAAAACGGATGAAGGTACAGAAAAGAAAGAGAGAGAGAGAGAGAGAGTGTGTGTGTGTGTGTGTGTGAGAGAGAGAACTCTCAAGAGCGACAGAGAAAGAGAGAGCGAGAAAGCGCTTTGCCCTTTGTACCCGCAACCATTTGTCATTTGGGATGTGCACAAGGACCTAGCTCCTCTGCCGACCACAGTTCACATGTGTGTGTGCTTATCACAATGCCCCTGCCTACCCCTCTACCACCTCCTAAGCTGAGGGTGTACATGTGTCTATGGGATTAGCAGAGGCTGCCAACCGTTCACATTCTATTTGAATGATCTGGGTTAAATGAGGTAAAGGGATAGTGTACTGACAGGGACTAACTGTATGTGTGTCTGTGTGTCCGCAGGTTCCTCGTATTATGACAACGTGCGGCCATTGGCCTATCCTGACTCAGACGCTGTGCTCATCTGCTTTGACATCAGTCGCCCAGAGACTCTGGACAGTGTCCTGAAGAAGGTCAGTATCTTCCTCCTCCTCCTCTTCCTCCTTTTCCTCACCCTCCTCCAACTCCTCCTCCTCCTCTTCCTCCTCCTCACTGGCCAGTCACAACCAGGGTATATAACCATCATGCCCTGACTAGAGAGAACATGGTTTATTAACATTCTCATCCAAACTTTTCTTACTTCACGTCTCAGATAGAGTTCCCATGCTATCTATAGCCAGCACACATTCTGACCCATCAACAATAGAGTAAATCACGATGGGGGTAAGAGCTAACCCCCTTTATCTCCATGAAACAAGCAGGGCTACTTGACCCCTGACCCCTATAAGAAAGGGAGGTCAGACTGGAGAATGAGAGGAGGCCTTGGAGCCCGGTTGGGGTGGGATTTGGAGTGGAGCTCCAGCAATGGCAGATTAGCTATGCAGCAACCAATCGAAGAGCAGCTGTTTAAGAAGGAGACAGAGTATTTATGTGAATCTAGGTATTTATGCGAGTTTCATATTAAATGAGAAGCCAGGACAGATGCTGGTAGTTAACGTTTTTATGGTGGCTTTTGGGTGTGATATGTTGATACTTGGCTTGGGAAGCAAACCAACGAGAGTGTGGTAAGGTGTGGAGGTGTGGTGGTGAAATGTGGTCATGGGAATGTTTTACAGCTATTCTCAGGCTTATGAGAGAGTTTGTGTGTGTCAGTAAGTGTGTTTGTTATGACTGTTGTATATGTGTAATGTGTGTGTGTTTGTGCCATGTGAACCAGGCTTGGTGGCCCTCAGCGGTCTCTCAGTAGTCCTCCATCTTGAGGCCATGTGTGGCACGTCCCTTTGAAGGTCTCCTCCTGTGAGCTCAGGACATTGTAAAGACATTCCCACGGCGGCTCTGTTGACATGTTTAGTGGTCTGGGGGGAGCTGGTAAAACACTCCCCACCCACAGGCTCTGTAGACCTAACCCACACAACAGCTTGGTTCTACCCACCCGTCTCAGTTTCAGGGCTCAGTGGCCCTGTCTGTCGACATGGCTTTTGGTTTTCCCATGAATCCCCTGGTAGGGGTTGCCATGACCCCCTGACCCCTAGCTGTCGCCCCGGTAATTTTTAAAACCTGGGGCTCATGGAAACCTGTTGCCCAATCACCGTCCCAAATTAGACTCTTGACCTCTGTGACCTTGCCTGTCACCAAGGTCATCAGATGACAGGAGCGGGAGGGAATTGAGAATGGGGGTGCAACGTGATTGGATGGTATTGAAGAGATGGGGGTAGAGCATTGGGGGTCAAAGGTTGTTTAACTCTTGATGGATGGCTGCACACCCCTGTGTTCTGCATGTGGCTCCTGGATGAATTCAGACATGGTGGATGTTTTGGGGTGTGTTATTTGGTATTTGTGTGGCAGGAGGGAGGGACAGTGTTTTTCCAGCTGAGTCTGAATGATGACATTTAATCTCACAGGGTGTTGTTTTGTGTTGTGTGGTCCTCTGTAGCTCAACTGGTAGAGCATGGCGCTTGTAACGCCAAGGTAGTGGGTTCGATCCCCGGGACCACCCATACACAAAAATGTATGTACACATGACTGTAAGTCGCTTTGGATAAAAGCGTCTGCTAAATGGCATATTATTATTATTATTATTGTTTTAACTGGACTGCACAGGGTTTTCTGTTCTGTACTCTATCTAAAATAGCTCTATTGACTCAAGCCAGAGAGTGGAAAGAAATGAAATGAATCTCATACCGTTGCATTATATCACACAGAAATCTCTCTCCTCCGTTTCTAGTGGACTACTAAGCCTTATCCAAACCACTCAATTGGCAAAGAGAATTTAGAGCACTGATTTAATTAAAACAGTTTCCCTATTATTGTGAAATGCTAGATTCCTCTGAGATCTAATCATAGATCTGCATAGTCATCTAACTGAATGAAGCTGGGAGACTCACACAAATACACAGGGTACTGAACAGAAGTCTCACAGGGAGACCACGAAAGCAAAGTCATTCATTTACATTCATTTAGACTAATGAGATAACTGAATGTCTATTACAGAGAGATTTAGGTGAGACAAATAAAAGGTTAATCCTCTTTGGTTAACGGGGGCCAGGGTCAACCTCCCGCCTCTATGAGCTGAGTGGCCTGGGTAGAGTCCTGGGGATTGCGGGTCAGGGTAGTTTGGGCCAGAGAATGTAAAGGTCCTCTCTGTGGAGTCATTCCACTGTTCCATAGGAATGTCCTGCTGGTGAGGTGACCTGACTGATGAGCGCTGCTGGCTATTTACTGATGCTCTCTCTCTCTCTCTCTCTCTCTCTCTCTCTCTCTCTCTCTCTCTCTCTCTCTCTCTCTCTCTCTCTTCTCTGCGTCTGTCTGTCTGTCTGTCTGTCTGTCTGTCTTCTTTCTGTCTGTCTGTCTGTCTGTCTGTCTGTCTGTCTGTCTGTCTGTCTGTCTGTCTGTCTGTCTGTCTGTCTGTCTGTCTGTCTGTCTGTCTGTCTGTCTGTCTGTCTGTCTGTCTGTCTGTCTGTCTGTCTGTCTGGTCTGTCTGTCTGTCTGTCTGTCTGTCTGTCTGTCTGTCTGTCTGTCTGTCTGTCTGTCTGTCTGTCCTGTCTGTCTGTCTGTCTGTCTGTCTGTCTGTCTGTCTGTCTGTCTGTCTGTCTGTCTGTCTGTCTGTCGTCTGTCCTGTCTGTCTTCTGTCTGTCTGTCCGTTCCGTCCGTCCGTCGTCCGTCCTCCGTCCGTCCGTCCGTCCGTCCGTCCGTCCGTCCGTCCGTCCGTCCCTGCGTGTCCGTCCGTCCGTCCGTCCGTCCGTCCGTCCGTCCGTCCGTCCGTCCGTCCGTCCGTCCGTCCGTCCGTCCGTGCGTGCGTGCGTGCGTGCGTGCGTGCGTGCGTGAGTGACCTGGATCAAATACTGACCTCGATCCAATTGAGGTGTGCTTGAGTTGGTTTGGAATTTGCACTTTTGGAACTATTCCATTGGTTCCATAATTGTACCGGGCAAAAACAAGTATTTCACATATACAGTATTTCTACTAGGTCTGAACTGTATGTCTACCTCTCTTTCTGTCTATATGTTAACCTCTGCCTGTCTGTATGTCTGTCTGTCTGCCTCTCTCTTTATGTGTCTTTGTTAACATGCTCCTGTCTGTGTGTCCATCCCACAGTGGCAGGGGGAGACCCAGGAGTTCTGTCCCAATGCCAAGGTGGTTCTGGTGGGTTGTAAGCTGGACATGAGGACAGACGTCAGCACCTTGAGAGAGCTGTCCAAGCAACGCCTCATCCCCGTCACACACGAACAGGTGAGCAGAGGGAAGAGGAGGGGGAAAGGATGGAGGGATGAAGAAATGAAAGCGTGAGAGAAAAACATACAGCAGGAAGGAGATCTTTAAAAAAGAGAATGAGAAACCAATCGAGGTATAATGAGACACCCACGGCAGAAGAGAGAGATAGAGCCAACCCATTGTCAAACTAGATTTAACCCTTAACCCAGCATTGATGTAGCCACCCACAGTTGCTATATCAACAGGGCACACATAGATTATGTACATATTACCTAATACATAGAAACACACTGAAGCAGACATTTTGCAGAGGTTGGCGTTCTGACTCTAATATGCTGACAGCGATGTGGAGGTTGGTTATTGTAAAGGGGGTTTAGGGGGTAGGAGGGTGGGGGGTAGGTGTGTATAGGATTGATGTCTCAGGAGTAGGGCTGTTGCGGTGACCGTATTACCGCCACACTGGCGGTCACGAGTCATGAAGGCAGTCAAATTCCACATGACCGTTTAGTCACGGTGATTAGGCTTCTCCAAGCTCTGATGCTGCTGGTGGTCATTACTAGCCTACCAAACTTGCTAACTGCCTGATACTCAGCACTCTATTGTCCCTCTAATCGCTCTGACATGAATGCAAATGTAATCAAAAATCGAATCAAACACTTCATGAGAGCCCATGAGCTCATGTTGCGCAACATTTCTATAGGCTATGCAATTGCGGGAGAAAACAGAGTGATGGCCGCTATTAAAAAGAGGAGGATCCCATCAGCTCTCTATAGGCTAGGCCTACTATATTTATTTCTCAACTTTCCTAATATTAAGCACATTGCTTATATTTACAACAGGAGTATAGCCTACCTGGCTGGCATGAAAATAAACCACAGGAAAAGCGTCCTCCATTCGCTATTTAAGTGCATAGATGACATGTATTTTTTCCCGCTGCCCCTGTTTCGAAACAGGTGCATGATAATGGTCCATCCTAAATCAAAACAAATCTCACACATACTCTACAGTTCAAAAGTTTGGGGTCACTTAGAAATGTCCTTGTTTTCCATGAAAACATACATTAAATGAATTTGAATAGGAAATCTAGCAAAATGCATAGGAAATGTAGTCATTGACAAGGTTAGAAATAATGATTTTTAATAGAAATAATAATTGTGTCCTTCAAACTTTGCTTTCGTCAAAGAATCCTCCATTTGCAGCAATTACAGCCTTGCAGATCTTTGGCATTCTAGTTGTAAATTTGTTGAGGTAATCTGAAGAGATTTCACCCCATGTTTCCTGAAGCATCTCCCACAAGTTGGATTGGCTTGATGGGCACTTCTTACGTACCATACGGTCAAGCTGCTCCCACAACAGCTCAATAGGGTTGAGATCCGGTGACTGTGCTGGCCACTCCATTATAGACAGAATACCAGCTGACTGCTTCTTCCCTAAATAGTTATTGCATAGTTTGGAGCTGTGCTTTTGGTCATAGTCCTGTTGTAGGAGGAAATTGGCTCCAATCAAGCGCCGTCCACGGGGCATGGCATGGTGTTGCAAAGTGGAGTGATAGCCTTCCTTCTTCAAGATCCCTTTTACCCTGTTCAAATCTCCCACTTTACCACCACCAAAGCACCCCCAGACCATGCTCCACCATGCTTGAAAGATGGCATCAAGCACTCCTCCAGCATCTTTTCATTTGACTCCTCCAACATCTTTTCATTTGGTCTGCGTCTCACAAATGTTCTTCTTTGTGATCCGAACACCTCAAACTTCGATTAATCTATCCATAACACTTTTTTTCCAATCTTCCTCTGTCCAGTGTCTGTGTTCCTTTGCCCATCTTAATCTTTTCTTTTTAATGGCCAGTCTGAGATATGGCTTTTTCTTTGCAACTCTGCCTAGAAGGTCAGCATCCCGAAGTCACCTCTTCACTGTTGACGTTGAGACTGGGGTTTTGCGGGTACTATTTAATGAAGCTGCCAGTTGAGGACCTGTGCGGTGTCTGTTTCTCAAACTAGACACAAATTTATTTGTCCTCTTGCTCAGTTGTGCACCAGGGCTTCCCACTCCTCTTTCTATTCTGGTTAGAGCCAGTTTGCGCTGTTCTGTGAAGGGAGTAGTACACAGCGTTGTATGAGATCTTCAGTTTCTTGGCAATTTCTCGCATGGAACAGCCTTCATTTCTCAGAACAAGAATAGACTAACGATTTTCAGAAGAAGGTTATTTGTTTCTTTCCATTTTGATTCTGTAATCGAACCCACAATTGCTAATGCTCCAGATACTCAACTAGTCTCAAGAAGGCCAGTTTTATTGCTTCTTTAATCAGCACAACAGTTTTCAGCTGTGCTAACATAATTGCAAAAGTGTTTTCTAATGATCAATTAGCCTTTTAAAATGATAAACTTGGATTAGCAAACACAACGTGCCATTGGAACACAGGACTGATGGTTGCTGATAATGGGCCTCTGTATGCCTATGTAGATATTCCATAAAAAATCTGCAGTTTCCAGTTACAATAGCCATTTACAACATTAACAATGTCTACACTGTATTTCTGATCAATTTTATGTTCTTTTAATGGACAAAAAAATTGCTTTTCTTTAGAAAACAAGGACATTTCTAAGTGACCCCAAACTTATGAACGTTAGTGTATATTATTTAGTATATGTAAAGACAAGATTAAATCAAGAATAGTCTGATGGGTGACCATATTAGCCTATCACTTTTGAATAATATATTATCACTTGTGAATGATGCCCTGCATAAGAAACAGCCTTTTTTTTGCTACTTGTTCGAATCATAGTCACACACCTCATGTAGCCTAGCCCATACGCCTATATGTTTTAACAAGGTTGAGAGAATGCCAAGAGTGTGCAAAGCTGTCATCAAGGCAAGGGGTGGCTATTTGAAGAATCTCAAATATAAAATACATTTTGATTTGTTTAACACTTTTTTGGTTACTACATGATTCCATATGTGTTATTTCATAGTTTTGATGTCTTTACGATTATTCTACAATGTAGAAAATAGTAGAAATGAAGAAAAACCCTTGAATGAGTAGGTGTTCTAAAACTTTTCACCGGTAGTGTACATACATACAGTGGGGAGAACAAGTATTTGATACACTGCTGATTTTGCAGGTTTTCCTACTTACAAAGCATGTAGAGGTCTGTAATTTTTATCATAGGTACACTTCAACTGTGAGAGACGGAATCTAAAACAAAAATCCAGAAAATCACATTGTATGATTTTTAAGTAATTCATTTGCATTTTATTGCATGACATAAGTACAGTGGGGAAAAAAAGTATTTAGTCAGCCACCAATTGTGCAAGTTCTCCCACTTAAAAAGATGAGAGAGGCCTGTAATTTTCATCATAGGTACATGTCAACTATGACAGACAAAATGAGAAAAACAATTCCAGACAATCACATTGTAGGATTTTTTATGAATTTATTTGCAAATTATGGTGGAAAATAAGTATTTGGTCAATAACAAAAGTTTCTCAATACTTTGTTATATACCCTTTGTTGGCAATGACACAGGTCAAACGTTTTCTGTAAGTCTTCACAAGGTTTTCACACATTGTTGCTGGTATTTTGGCCCATTCCTCCATGCAGATCTCCTCTAGAGCAGTGATGTTTTGGGGCTGTCGCTGGGCAACACAGACTTTCAACTCCCTCCAAAGATTTTCTATGGGGTTGAGATCTGGAGACTGGCTAGGCCACTCCAGGACCTTGAAATGCTTCTTACGAAGCCACTCCTTCGTTGCCCGGGCGGTGTGTTTGGGATCATTGTCATGCTGAAAGACCCAGCCATGTTTCATCTTCAATGCCCTTGCTGATGGAAGGAGGTTTTCACTCAAAATCTCACGATACATGGCCCCATTCATTCTTTCCTTTACACGGATCAGTCGTCCTGGTCCCTTTGCAGAAAAACAGCCCCAAAGCATGATGTTTCCACCCCCATGCTTCACAGTAGGTATGGTGTTCTTTGGATGCAACTCAGCATTCTTTGTCCTCCAAACACGACGAGTTGAGTTTTTACCAAAAAGTTCTATTTTGGTTTCATCTGACCATATGACATTCTCCCAATACTCTTCTGGATCATCCAAATGCACTCTAGCAAACTTCAGACGGGCCTGGACATGTACTGGCTTAAGCAGGGGGACACGTCTGGCACTGCAGGATTTGAGTCCCTGGCGGCGTAGTGTGTTACTGATGGTAGGCTTTGTTACTTTGGTCCCAGCTCTCTGCAGGTCATTCACTAGGTCCCCCCGTGTGGTTCTGAGATTTTTGCTCACCGTTTTTGTGATCATTTTGACCCCACGGGGTGAGATCTTGCGTGGAGCCCCAGATCGAGGGAGATTATCAGTGGTCTTGTATATCTTCCATTTCCTAATAATTGCTCCCACAGTTGATTTCTTCAAACCAAGCTGCTTACCTATTGCAGATTCAGTCTTCCCAGCCTGGTGCAGGTCTACAATTTTGTTTCTGGTGTCCTTTGACAGCTCTTTGGTCTTGGCCATAGTGGAGTTTGGAGTGTGACTGTTTGAGGTTGTGGACAGGTGTCTTTTATACTGATAACAAGTTCAAACAGGTGCTATTAATACAGGTAACGAGTGGAGGACAGAGGAGCCTCTTAAAGAAGAAGTTACAGGTCTGTGAGAGCCAGAAATCTTGCTTGTTTGTAGGTGACCAAATACTTATTTTCCACCATAATTTGCAAATAAATTCATTAAAAATCCTACAATGTGATTTTCTGGTGAAAAAAAATCTCAATTTGTCTGTCAAAGTTACAGGCCTCTCTCATATTTTTAAGTGGGAGAACTTGCACAATTGGTGGCTGACTAAATACTTTTTTCCCCCACTGTATTTGATCACCTACCAACCAGTAAGAATTCCAGCTCTCACAGACCTGTTAGTTTTTGTTTAAGAAGCCCTCCTGTTCTCCACTCATTACCTGTATTAACTGCACCTGTTTGAACTCGTTACCTGTATAAAAGACACCTGTCCACACACTCAATCAAACAGACTCCAACCTCTCCACAATGGCCAAGACCAGAGAGCTGTGTAAGGACATCGGGGATA